CCGCTTCTCCTCTTCTTTCATTGTCAGTGCTTCCAAATACGCACCTGCACATAATGTGAACCTATTGAATTTATGATAGCCCATGGTAAATGCCTACAAGTCACTACCAAGTACATTACAGTGTGGGCCCAGGATGACCTGAGGGATGTAACAAGAACATGTGTCTGATATGACTCTAATCCAGTGGTTCTCAACCTTCCCAATGGTGCGATCCTTTCATACAGTCCTCATGTTGCCGTGACCCCCAACCATAAAATTATTTTCGCTGCTACTTCATAACTGTAATTTTGCTACTGTTATTAATTGTTATGTAAATATCTGATATGCAAGATGTATCTTCATTGTTACAAATTGAATATAATTAAAGCATAGTGATTAATCACAAAACTATGTAATTATATATTGTGAAATATTTATTTCTAATTACAAATAAATGAAATTTTGTCTTGAAGCATGGTGTAGCATTGGTAACAGTCTACACGCTAGGTACTCAGATGTGGGCGTATCTGCATGTAGGCGGATCCGCCTGGAGAAAGATAGAGGAGTGCTGTCTCAGTTCCTAAGACCATCGGAAATATGTGTTTTCCGATGGTCTTAGGCAACCCAAGTAAAAGGGTCGTTCGACCCCCAAAGAGGTCGTGACCCACAGGTTGAGAACGGCTGCTGTAATCCATCCCATAGCAGCTCTGGAGGCCCCTCTAGCTATGGACTATGACTTTGATTTTGTGGTTCCAGCTAAATGATAAAGCCCTCTCTACCTTGTATCTCCATCAAGATTAGTGACATATATCCAAGGCTGAGCTTATATTCTTGCATAATCATTCTTGTTTCTTGAATACTGCCTGTGTGGCACTGCCTGTGTATCTTTGTTTACTGCTATATCCCAGAACATTACCTAACAACTCGTTGGTGCTCACAATATTTTCTTTTGAACAAGTGAATGCATTACCTCTTCCCAACATCCTATGAGTTCGCTTTTCTTTTACCCCTGCATAGTTAGAAAATGGATGCACATAAAAGTAAACAGATCCTTCCCAAGACTCTTAACTAATCAGTGAAAGAGCTAGAAGTTCAAAACAAGTTTTGTAGAAACGAGTTCTGTAAAACACTTGAGCACGTCCACCCAACCATCACACATGCCGCTTCTTAAGGCGAGTGCAGAGAACTGCTCCTCTCTCTTTACCCAGAAGTAAGCTCAGAATTCATCCTGGTGCTCAGAATTTCCATATATACATGCAAAAAACCCAATACGCACCATGTAGGCACTTTCAGGAGTATTAGCTTACTCACACATGTCACCGTCTTACAGGTAGGTAATTTTGTTTTCTCCATCATTTTGGGAATGCAGAAAATGAATGTGAAATGATTTGTCAGTAGTCCCCAAACTTGCCTAATGATAAGAATTATCTGGAGGGTTGGTTAAAGCAGTATCATGCCGCACTCACTCCACATCTTTTGACTTAGAATATTCCACAAGGAGACTATATTTTCTTGAACCCCAAGCTAAGTGTTAACCACAAAAACAGGATGATGTCCAGAAAAGGAATGTCTTTCAGATTCCATAGTTTGATAAAGTCCTTTTAGAGCGGCACTTTCAATGCTTCATCTTCTTTTTTTCCTTTGATTTACATACTAGGTACCAACAGTGCCATATCTTTTAAAAACACAACAGCTAATAAGGTCCATTCACATGACCCTCCAAAATAATCATAAAGAAAAAGCTGAATGAACAAGTACAATATTCATCTTTGTTTTATAGACAGGAAAAGTAAAGCACAAGCAAATTGTAAAACTCATTTAAGAAACAGAGGGAAAAAAAGGAATGTTATAGAGAATAGATATTTAGAAACTAAATCAGAGGCAAGAACAACCTCTGATGGACCAAAGCCAGTGTACAGCATCACTGCATGAAGGGCCTGTGGGCCGCCATCATTGCCACCACGCCAAGAGAAAGGCTGAAGGCAATGCTAAGGGAGATAAAGCCAAGGTGAAAGATGAAGCTCAGAGATGAGCAAGGTCATCTGCTGAACCTGTTCCTCTAAAAACCGGAGCCTAAGCCTAAAAAGGCCTTTGTAAAGAAGGAAGAGAGGGCACCTAAAGGGGGAAGGGGAACAGCTGATGGTAGCAGGGATGGGAACAACCCTGTAGACAACGGAGATGCCATCACAGTCCAGGCACAGAAAGCTGGAGGTGCTGGAGAGGCCAAGGGAAGTGTTTTTGATAACTGTGTGCTTCTGGTGACTGAAGAGTTTGAAATACTATTTTAATCAAGCTTTATAAAAATGCAGGATTGTGTTTTACTTTTTAAAAAAGGATATGTTGTAAGCACACAGAGTACTTCACTGTTGTTGCAGGGGAAGGGATAGATGTCACTAATAAGATGTTTCCAAAGCTGGGTCGATGTGGGAGACAACAGTTTGCCCTGCTAGTTTTGAGGGACCCCCTCTTGGTTCCCAAAGGGAGGGATTCCCTGATGCTGGCACCTATTAGCCAGCTTGGCACAAAGAACCTTGTGATAAGGAAAAAGCGGATTTTGTTTTCACATTCCCACACCCTCCTCTCCCTCTCTGCCTTCAGCGTAGATTTGACTCCCATAACCCCAGAGACCTCTCGGGACCTAACCCCATAATATTAGTTGTTGGAATATCAGATGATCGGAACTTTCCAGTGACGCCATCCTAATGGCACCCCTCAAAAGGACAAGCGGTTCCCTTTTCTAGATTGTGGTAATTCTGCCGTTTTCATTTCACGTTCTGCAAGTCAGAGTTGGCTCGTGAAAACTTGTTGAACAACAGGCTAAATGTGAAATGTTGACCCGAATGCGAAACGTTCGGAGCATCGGAGGATGACTTCAATGGGCTTTATAGTGGCTTTCTGCTTCTGGAAGTCCACCGAAGAGGCAGTTGGAAAGTTGTTGTATCCTGTTAACGATGACCAGCCCATAGCCTGCCTGAATACCCAACTCTTCTTTTCTCTAAGTATGCCCCCTCCCTAACACCCAAAGAAGAAAATCGCTCCACCATATTCTGCAAGCTGCAGCAGGAAGCAAGCATTGGGTCAAGAGGGCCATTCAGGCTAGTTTGAATAGGGCTTTCAAAAGACATTACTTTCCCCTGGTAAGAATCAATACAATCTATATTACACTCATTCTTATTGGTATTTTATAGGAAAATTCTCAAAATAGGGCATCATGGAAAAATTGTACAAGGTATTCTGGTACAAAGAAAACGTAAAGTTCCCTGATCAATTTCAGCTCTTAATTGAGGTTAATTAGGTTATTTCTGTCTAAACAGCTTTTCCTGCGAAAAGTTGCCCTGTCAACTACAGCAATTTTTCCCAAAATGGGCGATACCAGCCCCTGGGGGTGCTATAATGGGGTGGGGAGGCATTGCAAAAGCAAGTATCTACACTTTATCGTGATTATGTGTACAAAATCCGGACAAAAAATTGCCAGTGTGTGTGTGTGTGTAATTTTTTTCTGAAAAAGGAGTTGTAGACACAACACATTTGCTAAACTATGATCTAACATTATTTCAGAACAATAGTCTTAGGAAGTGGCTTACAGAGCTGAGGGATACTAACTTGAGACCAAAAAAATTCAATTTTATTGCATTTTCCCCCTCCCAAATAAGTAATGCGTTAAGTCCTCTGAGTTCAGGAAAACAAAGACTTTATAATGAGCCCGGGAAGATAATGCCCCTTAAAATATCTTAACTTGGCTTTCTTACTTGGCAAGGAAGTCTTATGTGGGAAAGTTACACCAGAATTTGACAGGGGGGTTCTTAATATCAAGATGCTGTGGATATTTATACTCTCCGAGTGAAGGGTAAATAAAAATGTATGCTTAGGAAGAAGAGGAAGGATCCATTTATTTGGGAGCAATACAATCAGAGCAGCAGCATCTATCACATGCCCTCTGCTCCTGAGAGGAACATCCCGCTAGATTATTCTGGAAGTGAGGCAGAGGGAGAATTAGGGGTTGAAAGCAAGATTAGAGGCAAGAGACCAATAAGAAAATAAGCCACTTGAGTGTATCTTTGAGTGTCATTCTTATTTCCAACATCAGAGCTATTCTAAGGTAAGAGGAAGAGGAAATTATCACCAATATGGTCCTAAGAAACATCAACACAATACCTCAAGGAACAGCCAGCGACTTTGCAGCTCGGCCAGTGGTATAGTTGTTCAGTGTCCCACCTTCCAGCCCTTAGGTTTTAGGGGAACCACTCCAGCCTATGGGCTTGTTGACCCATCACTCACCACCAAATGTGACCTTATACGATAAAATAGATCATAAAGGAAGCTCATATTTGAAATACCACACAATTTCACACTTCATTTCCTGTTCTCATACTCATTTATTAATTTCCCATCAGCGTATAAAGCCATATAATGCTTTAGTTTGAAGAAAACATGGCCCCTTTCATAGAACTTGAAAACAGCATTAATAATTAAAGGCTGACTTTCAAAGTAAGGCATCTAAGACTCTTTGGCACATGTTTTTGTGATATTCAGCAGTACAAAAGGCAACATGCATATTCTTGAATATACAGAAGCAGTAAGTATCTGCTCAAAATTATTAGAGATAATAGGAGATATTAAACTCCAGATACTTACATGGATTGGAACTGATATTTTATATTTAAAGATAGTTACCCAGTGTAAGGAACCCTGATGCCATAGTGGCCAGCAGTTCTAAACCACCAGCCACTCCAAGGTAGAAAGACAGTCTCATAAACTCACAGGGACAGTTCTACCCTGTCCGACAGGGTCGTTATGAGTCGGCATCAACTTGATGGCAATGAGTTTGGATTCTGTGCCAAGAATAAATTTCCAAAATTATCAGCAGTTTCCCTTCCATATGTCTGCAGAAGAAATTTACCTTTAAAACTTTTAAAAATTCGCCTTTACAGCCATTATATCAGAAACTCACATGCATGTATAGTATCACATTAAGCTTTGACCCATATGTATTTTTCAGAATTAAAATACCTATTAAATGTTTGCTTAAACAGCAAATACACTAAAATTGGAATGATATAGAGAAGAGTACCATGGCCCATATATAAAGATGACATGCAAACTTGTGAATCATTCCATATTTTTGGTGCATGTTTTTCTGTATATGAAACCCAAGATAGGTCAACCTACAGAGACCAGGATTAGATGAATAGTTTTAAATGGATACGAGAAATGGAGAGCTAAAACAACTAATTCAAGGAAGAAGAAATATCCAAAAATTGATAGTGATGATGGTTGTACAACTCTTATGAACATGATTGAACTGATGAAATGTATGATATGTGAACGGTAGGTTGGCGAAACTGCTAAAAGAGACTAATTTTAACAAATACCTATCAACTTTCTTCATTCCAGTATTAAAGAAGTAAACCAGTAGTATATTATGTGACATATGGTATACAAGTAAACAGTCGTATATAATGTACACAAGTAAAGTATACCTCTCTTTTTTCTTCGGTAACCTAACTACACCCCACAGTATTATTACATTTTAAATGTCAAGTTGACCAATAGGAAATTCGCTCTCTCTTTCCACATAATACAGGAATGTAGCATCCATACAGTATCTGAAATGTTGGGTTTGTCATACATCATTTTTACACAGAGCTATTATGACAGGAGTATTAAATACCACTCCTACTCAATCTGTAATCCATGAACCAGCAGCTTTATCATCATGTGACAACCTCCTTCCCCAGTACCACTACCAAAAGTCATAGTTGTTAGCAAGACTTACACACTCATTTTACTGTTTAAGTTATAGACAAATGAGAGTACAATGCCATAAATTCTAGTTTTCTCAATACATCATTAAACAACATATTATTATGTCTGTTCTGTAAATACAGAAGCAGATTCAGGGTATTTGTGGCTTGTTTAGGTTAAGAGGCCTGGCAAATGATGAAGCTGGGAGTGAAGACAAGGCCTTTTCACTTTTACTCTCTTTACTATCTGGAAAATACCCAAAGCACAAAAAATATGGACCTGTTCTTGCTACTTTACCAACTAAAAAATATCAATAAAATTTAGACAAATTAGACCCACGCCTGAAAATTATTTTTTCAATAAAACTAACTCAAGGAAAAATAGAAAATCTAAATGCACTATAACTATTAAAGGCATCCATTCAGTGGTTAAAAACTTTCCAAACAAATCCCCAAATGACCTAAACATTTTCAAAGAAACTTTACTAAAATGTAAGACCAAAGAACTCAAATTTTAATATAAACTGACTTAGAAAAATGTTTTTAAGTTTGTTATTAAGTAATTTTATAAAACTTACATGGTCTTGATATCAAAACCAGTCAAGAGAGTAGAAATGAAAAATTATAGGCTAATCTCACTTGAAAAGTTAAGTACAAAGCTACTGTGTAAATTAATAGAAAGTTGAATTGAGTTGTGTATTTAAACCATGTATCATGAGCCAGGAAATTTCATCTCACAGAAGAGAAGCTCAACATCAGAAAATCTATTCAGATATTTCTCACACTGATAGATTAAAGGAGAAAATATTATTATGCTAATAGTCTCACATAATGTGTTTGATAAAATCTAGTGGCCCACTATAATAAAATGCCTAGCAAACTAGGAACAGAAAAGAACTTTCTTTCTCAGGTAAAAGGTATCGAATGACAGCAAACATCATAATTGTTATTGAAGCATTAGAAGAACTCTCTTTATAATAAAAATGCAACATATCTACATATAATTGCTTCTATTCACCAGCCTAGAAGTTCTAGCCAGACCAGTAAACTAAGAAAAATGAAAGTTCAAATAGTATATGTATATGGATAGATATCTATCCATATATATATATATATACATATCATATTAATATACTAGACAATATTTTTGAGATAATAATTATCAGAACTAAGTTACAATTTTGAGACTTAAAAGGTAAAGACTACCTTTTTATTTATAATTTTTATAAAGATATTCTTTGTTTGTATTCTAAACAAAGTGTATTGGCACTGATGGGGAAAAATCTGGGCAAAATGAAGCCTGGAAAAATTAGAATCATTTATTATTTCCTGGAAACTTTTGGACATAAAAATTATATAATAAGAATTTATTGGCTTGAATTTTATACTAATAAAGAGAATTATCTGTACAAACATAGTTACAATAAATTGGATTCCACAAACTACTTTCTTACTGGGCATTGATAATTTGGGGGTTCACTTGCATATAATAAATGAAAATATTATCTACAGAATATTAGAGAATTTACAGGAAAGAGTTTATTTCTATAGCAAATAAAAGAAGTCTGGAGGTTATTTGATAGGCTATTCTATATATTCACCAGAGACCCAGCCTCCATCCATATTTGCAGTATAACTCCAGTCCTTGCAGCCTAAGACAGCTCTTAAACCTCCAATCATCACATCCTCCTTGTAGCCAGCAGGAGAGAAGAAGGGGCAAAGGAAAGCATACAACCAAAACGTTGGCACAGAATTGTGCCTAAGTAAAGGAGAGTGGGGTATGTGGCCCTTAACTGAACAGCAACATGACCAGCTGAAAAGCCAGAGCTCTTATCATCATGTAGAAGGCAAGGGAAAACGAATAGCACAAGGCATAAGACATATATGACAGGTGGACATATTTCTTTAATAGTTAAGTGAATTTAATTTTTGGTAGAATGAAAGAATAGATTCTTTACTTGATATTTCTTTGTCTCGGTATATGACGAGTGTGCCATTGGGTTGATTTCTTTTTAAAAACAAATTTTGTCTTGTGAATTTTAAGCAAACTCACTTGCAATCTGAAAAATATATATAAGCTTCATTAAAATTCAGTTATTTAGAGTAAAGGTGCCTAATTATTTTAGGCAATTTATGTTAACAAATTATACTTAACGTAATTGCCTGGTTAATCCTATTTCCTTTCTTAAGATTAAATATTTTTTATTTGCATTGATTGTGACTGTTGTCCTCTGTTGTTGGAGATACAGGACACTGTTAATACTCTCAATGTTTTTCTATGATCTCTGCCAGTTCACCGTGCACACCAAAAAAAAATCCCCCCATCTTTTTTTCCCAATTTGTAGGCAAAGGGTCATTGTTTCCTTGTTATTTTTTAAAAAACTAACCCAAACTAAGTAGTTTACTTAAACATGTACAATTTTATATTCCTTTGAAATTATGGACGCTTTATTACATATACATAGACAGCAAAACTTTTAAAAAGAGAAGAATGTAAATTTTAGTGCCTCAAGTGAGTTTAGGAAGCATTCTCAGCCACTTAAATGAATTCACATTTCATAAGGTTATTGAGGGGCAAAATGAACATTTGTAAAAGTAGTACCCTGAAAAGTATTTACAAATCTGGTCACAATCAAAATATCACTAGGACTATTAGGGGGTGATTTTTGGACTTGAATGATTTGATTCTATTATTTACCTTGAAGTATAAGCTGGAGATAATAGTAGACAGTAAAATATTGGCATATCAGTCAAGGGAAACTTGTACTGTGAAAAGGTATTCATTATAACAATGAAATCTGACAATAAAATGGATGGTTAGAATAAATGAAACTGGGCAGACATTTCAAAAATAAGCTTAAATTTACGTAAGTGCATAGCATGTGGACAGACTGTCTGGATAAGACTTAATATGGACAAAAGTAAAATTGAGTAATTATTTGTGAAAAACAAAAGTTGAACCCTATTGCATGCCACACATAAAATATATATATTTTTATACATACTTTAGAAAAATATACATATTTCAGAGAGCTTTCAGTTTTTGACAAAAATGAAAACATGATTCTAATCTCAAAGTATACAAAGATTTTTTAAATCCACAATAGAAAATATTGATAATTTGAAAAAGTCTAGACTCTTCCTTTTAAATTTCATTCTTTTTGCTCCAAGGCATCACAGCTGCTGGGATCTTGTTCTGCTAAGCAATGTGTCTGCTGTCTGCTCTAGCTTTGTAGCATCTCATCCTGAGATTTTAATTTGAGAGATGGAATTAAAGAACCCAGGTCTTCTACCACTGACCAACATCCTTTAGTAAAATAGTTCAACTAGTTATGAATCCTTCTACCTGTGCTAGCTCCCAACTCAAATTCCAGTAAATATTTCCCAGATCAAAACTTTCATTAATTTATGAGATTTTTATTTAGAGACTTTATGGTCTTTAAATATCACCATGCGAATTCACTTTAAATAGCCTAATAAACTGGTTCCAATTTTTATCTAGGTTATACATGGAGTTGTTTTTTAGAGATTGCTCCCTCCATTCCCATATTTTCATGGTTACTATTTAATGACAAATGTGCTGTTAAAGATGTTCCTCCTTTAATCCTGACACTTTAATTCTTGAACTAGAAAACATTATGAACTATTTTCTTATGTAACATCATTAATTTATCTGATACATTTATTCACTGAGCAAATCATCAGAGAAGCTGGATTATAAGAAGTCTGTAGCATCAGGATTGGAAGACGGCTATTAACAACCTGGGATATCTAAATGACACACCTTGTTTATTGAAAATGAGGAGGACTAATGAAGTTCAAGGCGTATAGCTTTCAGAATGGATAACAACTCAATGTAAAGAAAACCATAATCTTCACAAAAACAGGTGACATCATGATAAATGGAGAAAAGATTGAAGTTGTCAAGGATTTCCTCGTGATTTGGATCGAAAATCAATGCACACGAAAGCAGCAGTCAAGAATTCAAACAATGCATTGTGTTGGGTAAATCTGCTACACAGGCCTCTTGGAGTACTGAAAAACTAGGGTGTTCCTTTGAGGAGTAAGTTGTGCCCAACTATAGCCCTGGTTTTCAACGATCTCATATCCATGTGAAAGTTGGACATTAATACAGAAGATGAATAAGGAAGACGGAAGAAGAATTGATGTATTTCAATTGCAGTGCTGGAGAAGAATACTGAAAGCACCATGGACTGCCAAAAGTACAAACAAATCTGTCTTGGAAGAAGTACAGCCAGAATGTTCCTTAAAAACAGGATGGCGAGACTTCATCTCATGTACTTTGCACATGTTATCAGGAGACCAGTCTCCAGAAGAACATCATGTGTGATCGAGTGGCAGCGCAAAAGAGGACAAGAT